TAAGACTAAGATCCAACATATTCATTATTGAATATTTATTCTAAGAACTTATCACTTTTCTGTTTAGTCATGAACGAATATTTATAAGCACGTGGTCTTATTTATCTAAATAAAGTGTTGTTCAGTTATATTATTGAATTCAAGTAGTCCATAGAAAACCGGAAGTTGTTCACATATAAATAGGCGTATTGATGGCTAGAGAGAAAGAGACAGTGATGAATTTAAGAAAGGTTGGATAAATAATAATACTACTGTAATGTAAATAAATAAAAGCCTGTTTATATTGTTATATGAATATTACAGCTATATGGTACATTGTATCTCATAAAATGTGATGCCTTGGCTACTACACATCTTTAAATAATATACTTTAGCTTAATTAAAACAAAGTCATTTAAATTCCAAATTTAATGTTGATAATCAATTATCACCTATATTTTAATAAAAGTGATACTATGAATAAAAATTTTGTTTAAATGAATAATTTAAAAAAAATAATTATTACATTAAAATATTTAATATGATAGCTAGGCTTAATTACTATGTTCGAATTGTCTGATTTGAAACTATGGCGAGTTTTATTATCTTTGTTATTATGCATGTATATCATTCTTAGATGAACGTTTTGAAAAAAATCCGGTTATTATATCACCAAATTTATCTAAATTTCTAGGATAAATAGTTAGTACTTACTTACTTACTTACGCCTGTTACCCCTCGTGGAATAACATAGGACGCCCATTATCATTCTCCATCCAACTCTGTCCTGGACAATTCTTTCCAGCTGGTATTCATCCTTTTTATGTTTGCTTCCGATTCCCGAGGCAGTCTGTTCCTTTGTCTTCCTCATTTCCGTTTCCTTTCAGGATTGCAAGTTAGGGATTGCTTCTTGATGCAGTTTGGTGATTTCATCAATGTATGTCCAGCCCTTCAACAGCATTTTTTCATAATTTTCTCCTCAATTGCAAGTTGGCTTGTTCTCTCTCATAGTACGTCACCTATGGCGAAGACGAGATATCCGTCTATTAATTAAAGGACGAATATACTGCGCAGCAGTTCGCTCTGTTCTGCTTCACGGCAGCGAAACATGGCCATTAAGAGTAGAAGATACTCGTAGGTTACTAGTATTTGACCACAGATGCCTTAGAAATATTGCTCGCATCTGCTGGGATCACCGGGTAAGTAATAGTGAGGTTAGGCACAGGGTATTAGGGAACGATGGTAAATCAGTTGATAAGGTGATGAATCTTCATCGACTGAGATGGTTGGGCCATGTGTTACGTATGCCTGAACACCGATTACCACGACGCGCTATGATGACTAGTGTAGGTGATGGTTGGAAGAGAGTTAGGGGCGACCAAACCAAAACATGGCATCAGTGTTTGAAGTCACTAACTTCTAGTCTGAGCCATGTTGGCAGGTGCAGACTACCTGGTTGGGGTCCGCGTGACTATCGTAACCAATGGTTGGAGACTCTGTATGACATGGCTCAGAATCTATCACAATGGCGTAGGTGTATACACTCTTTATATTCGCTTAAACCTTGAGATTAAAATCGCTTCATATCTCTCTTCCTTCCTGTACTATATCCTTATATACAACCTATAATTTATGTACTACTACCACTACTAAATTAATTACTTCTATGAATCCGGTGTTGATCTTGTTGTGCTAACGAGGTATGGCAACTTGGACCGATGCATAAATGTGCCTGGTCCTACGTTGTAGCTGACTGACTGACTGACAACTGTTTTGACCTTCGTATTGAAGATTTTGACTTTGATATTGGTTGACAGTTTTTCTGAGTTCCATATGTTATTTAACTGTAGGAATGCTAGCCTTGCAAACAGTTAATAATTTTGCGATTGTTATTACTGTAACTGAAGTTTCTTCCAACCTCTAAGTCTGTCATTTTCATCAATTCGATCAGTGATTACGTAATTTCAAGAAGTAGAAATATAATAAAATTGTTAATCAGTAAATCTTACTTTAGAGTTGTAACGATCTCTTTTAGAGTACTTTCAAAATAAACATATAACCATTGTAATAGAGGGTTAACCGCTCAAAGAGTAGCAAAGAGAATGAAATAAATGTTATAGATTCCTCCGTAAATTACGACAATTAATTGAGATAGTTGTTTCATAACATCTAATCTTATTTCTTTGATTAGTATTTCAATTTTAAATGTGTTAAATCCAAAAGATAACATAAATTTCATTCAATACTTGACACCGTAATTGCGTTGATTTACTGATGATGATGAACCAATCTAATTATTTATCCTCAATGTCTGTTAAGAAATTCTCATAAACCAATGGGATGAAGATATGGAAGTTAAGTGAGGTGTAAGTTTTAGGAAGAAGGGTGATTATTTTCTAACTAAGACTGCTAAATTTTGTTTCAACGTCTAATGTACGTTACCGTATTTTTTTCATTCCGTAGGAATTGTGAAATCTTTTTCATGTACACAAGCTGCTTAGAATATTGATATTAACTCCTAACACAAACAAATTATGCCTCCTTTTTACTAGATATTTAAATTTGAAAAATACTATTGATTAGTAAATTTGATTCTGAATCATAGCAAGAAAAATTTCAATCGGTCTCTTACCACTGATGCTCAAAGACCTAAATAACAAGTCTATGAATAAATATCTCCCAGTACGATTCTTAGAAGAATAATTCATTTACTAAGTACACTATGTGTTTCTTATCACTCCTTAGTTGGTTTGAAGCAACCACTACATAAAAAATATTTCAGCATCTTTAAAATTGCTAAAACTGTGGCTTCACATTAAGCATTGAGTTATATTCAGGATTTGTGAACTAGATATTGACTGAATAACTGCCATTTAGTTCAATTAAAATAGGTACTATTTAACTAGTTTACTTAAATATGATCATATTTTTATTTCTTATTCACATGGCAACTTAATAGTACAACATTTAGTGATTCAAACAAGCTGATATCTTTGTACCAATAATTTAGTTTAGTAAAACAGATTACCCTGATGTTATGCAAATTAAACAACGAATATCGTATATAAAAATACTAGTCAGGTTTTTGTTGCCATAGTGATCTTTCCTGTATAGTTATTAGCTAGAACTTAAATCACTTTATTATTCTTGTTACTAATGTTACACATATCCTCTTATTATCAATTTGTACTTTTTACCGATCATTTGTGGTTGTCATCTGTTTCATTATAATCATTAACTCATATATTGCCTTGATTGACTGAATATCTTTATATACCCTTATAAATATTCATATATATTTGTGTAAAGCATAGTGACAACGTAATCACTTATGTGTTCTTTCAAACTATTAATTATCATCTAGGATTTTTTTCCTGGCTAGATAGTAATAATCTGTCACTATTTCAATCATTAACATGAGTTTGAAGCTCTGAAAATATCATTATTTGTCTTTAGGCATGAAGTCATACTTTGCTAATGTGATGAAAACGAATAAGAAATATAGGAACAAAGCCTTGTAGTTTCTCGAAATGCTATTCGGTAACTTTAGCATAGATAATGTTGTGTTCTACGGAATTTTATACATAATCAATAGAATGACTTAGTGAATGGTTTAGAAACAATGATCTATTTGTTAAAAGTTCATTTTGTAAACTCATAAGTCTACCTAAACTGGAGACTTTTAGGAGCCATTCACCTTTATTGTAAATACTGTTACTTATACACAAACATTGTTACTTGAACGAATAGAAGGGCAGAGTATGTTCATTCTCCCAACATTGTTTTTATTCACCAACCATATGTTCCATGTTATTTTTATAGTTATTATCATTAATATTAGTTTCATTTAATGTTATTGCTTTTTTTTCAATCACTAGACTACTTACTTTGATCAAATTTATGATTTACTGTACGAAATTAAGACAGACTATATCCTTTCTTCTCTTCTCACGAACATATGCACAATTGAACTACACATTGCGTTTCATTCTTTGTTAAATATAATTGAAGTATCATCTGTCTTTGGTTTTTTTGTTCAAATTATTTTTACTAACAATACTGACACTAAAATGACACATTGAACCCTTTCACATATATATGTAAGTTAAGTATCATAGTCTTGATTTAGGATAATAGAGACGGTGAGGATCTGGATTAAAACAAGTACCTATGACTTTTGAAATGTATTTTTGTGATACAACCCAACTTCATATAGTAGGTTTTTGCCTAGATAAATATTCTAGTGATATGACTCATACATAGGGTAAGTGGTAATGTGGGTAGAATGATAACTGAAAATACTTATATACATAGTTAAGAGACGGGTGAGAATACAAAGTATCCTGATCCCCTATTTTTTCTGAATATACTACAACTAACATCTTACATTGTGAATAGATTTATCTTGTCACAAAAAATACACTACAATTTAGAAGACAAGTAAACTGATTTGTAAAGTGATAGTATTTGCTGACAACTTAACCCTTAAGTTTTGATGCTTTTAAGTTAAAGTTTTAGAGTAGTTTTGTTTAAGTAACTAGATATATCGTGTTAGCAAGCTATTAATGGAAGGTGGATAACATTTTCAATGTTTTAAGCAGTTAACTAGATCAAATGTACACCAGTACATAATCTTCATAGATAGATCCACAAAGATAAGTTGTCATTATTGTTTAGTTCGTGGCTTGTGTAAAAACGTTGATGATGTAGTGAACAAAGTCGCGTAGTATCATAATGGTTACAAAGGGTTATCGAGGTTTTTCCATTGTTTGTTAAATGTAGGGTCTCTTCAGTTTAGAATGGAGTATTCCAATTAATGGAATTCCTTTTTTTTAATATTTCGACGCATTAATATATACACATTCTATCACCGATATCGAATTGATATGACCAGTGAGTGTTTCATTTATTTGTGTCTCACTAATGACGAACTTGTGTTTAAGAGTAGACTACTTTCCTCTAGGAGAGTACAACCAACGGGGTAAACAATGTTTTTGTTTTGGTATACTTTTTGATTATAGATGGGTTATTAAAACTGAAATTCGTTGGGTAACTACCTCTGGACAATTCCTTACTTACCACCAGTTCATAAATTTAGCTATTTACTTACAAGTTTTAAATACGATCAAACGTGCTTCTTGAATTTTGTTTAGACAATCGACTGGTTCTAAAGCTACCACCTATTGATTCCCAACAATCGAACAATCTTCAAATTAAACATGAATTACTTCAATACACACTATTGATAACTAATCACCAGCAGGAAATCTATGACCAATCCTTGACTATTTTCATTGGTTAAAACATCAATAAATGACCTAAACATATTGTTGATATAATCTTAAATGGTGTGTTTTATCATACTTTGGAAAAAGTTCCTACCCTTTTTCTTCTGAGTACATTACATAATAATGTTGTTTAATTAGTATAGAAGACAAAACAGACTATGAATAAAGCTCATTATATATTCATATATAAATAATATATACATACAAATGAGTGTATAGATAGTCTGAACATGATATCTGTTTGATGAACAATGGAAATTCCTTATACGAATTTGACTATTCCAAGTAATAAAACTAAATGTTTGGTATGTTCATATACATCAAAACATAATTCACAATTCAATGAAAACCATTTCAGTCAAGAATATACTACAATAGATTTCAACTTTCAATTGACCCATTCAAAGTGTCATAATGAATCAGATTTAGATCATATAAATCAATTATCTGATCAAATTATTAATCCACAATTTCGTAAAAATGCTATCATTAACATTTGTAAATCAATTGATGATAATACATTGGATATAGGATATTTTATTTATTCACGTCCTGGTATAATAGCTGCATTACTTCTAGAAATTGTACAACATTATCCAACTGATAAAAGTAAATCATTTTCATCAGAATCATTTGAAGTAAGTCTGTGTGTGTGTTGGTAAAAATTAACTGGTCTATCATGGATTTGTTTAATTTTTTACTGCTAAATAAGTAAGGCTTGTTAATCTTCATTTATAATTACTATTTGTCAATGAAGTCATATGCTTCGGCGGATACAATGCAATCGGTTGTCCCCATTTGTGTCCTCGTTCACAACAAACTTATAAATAACTAGATGGACAAGGTTAAGATAAAGCTGGAAATAATAATAATAACCAAGACACGATTGTTTTTAAAACATAAGTAATTTCACCAATAGAACTGTGTCAGAATATTGGAAAGTCTCAGCAGAAAACGTACACTACATTCAAGTTGTTTAACCCACAATTAAATTTTTTGTTTTTTAGCAGCTGTAACTAAAGTTAAGACATATTAATCCGTCTTTTTTATCAATCTACCGGTTCAACAACTCCTCTGGAGCTAGTTATATTGGGAACACAAGTGGAAGGATTCGTTGTACGAGGTGGTCAGACAAAACCTTGTGATCCGTAGACTTAAGTGGGCAAAATGGAGTATTTTTAAGACTGAATGCCTTTGTGTGATATAAAATCCCGTCATATAAATTATGAAAAACCAGACTTTCTCGATCAGCGTTGGTTGGAACTTGAAAAACATATTTGTATCATGTTAGTTTCGATGTTGAACGGAAGAGCTTGTTAGATTGGTAAATTATTTAGATATTAAAACCAATGTTTTAATTCTTTAGTGGGCAGTGAAACAGTTAAAATGAACAGGGTAAATATGTAGACTATTATTTGATGGGCCATCGAACTTATATTTTAGTAAGGTTAAAGAATATAAAAATAGCTTCCTGATGTCATTCTCATCAAGATCTTTGATGTAAATTCATGAAATCGGTTTGATCTTAGAACATGTGTTAAAGAGTCAGAAAACCGAATTATGGTGTAAATTGAAAACTGAAAGCAATCTTATTCATTATATTTAGTAATATGTAAATAGGTAAATTTCCAGAGAGGATGCATTTCAACTTCAGAAATTGAAAAAGATGAATGAAAGTAAACTGAGAAAAGTGCATAATGATCAAGGAGAGGTTATCAAAACACTGATTAATGAACGATTCCCCACACACTGAGTTTCAGAATGAGTAAACAGTTATGTAGTGAAAAGTTGCAAATGCTACACAACGTTAGACACTGATGTTTGCAGCATTTAAATACGCAAACTGTCATGTATCAGCGTAACCGATCATGTAACAGTTAACAAATTTATTTCGCAATATCTCCGGAATTTCTGTGATATTAAACTTATTTATTTGTAGATGAAAATCACAAAACAATGAAGGCCCTAATTCTGAACCCACACACACAAATATCCGTGTTGTTGTGACGGTAGAGATAGCTTATCGGTTAGAGAAAACAACTTTAAACTACTAGGTATCTAGTTTGAATCTCATCTCACCCACTTCAATCTGGATAGCTAAATAATATCTCCAACTCTCACACATAAGCATGTATCTTAAAACTGAGTACACGAATCAATATTTGGTATATAATTTATATCATGTTGTAACTTACAAGTCTGAAGTAAAAGAGAAAATGTATTCTACCTTCGACATTACGGTATTCAAAAAAGTACAGGATTTAGATGAATGGTAAATAATGTGTACTAACGTAATGAGTTTACATATAACAAATTCCATTTATCGGATGAACAAATTTAGTGAAGTTGGAATTATGGTTAAAATTATGAGTCAATTGAAGCTAGACGACCAAAGAAAATCTGGAAGCACAGAACGGCCGTTTCGTCCTATTGTAGGACTCCTCAGCAGTGTGCATCCACGATCTCGCTTCGCGAGATTCGAATCCAGGACCTACCAGTCTCGCTCATTAACTGTTTTTTTTTAATTATTTCTCTCCAACAAGTGCTCTGGAGCGAGACTGGTAGGTCCTGGATTCGAATCTCACGAAGCGAGATCGTGGATGCGCATTGCTGAGAAGTCCCACGATAGGACGAAACGGCCGTCCAGTGCTTCCAGGTTTTCTTTGGTCATCTAGTTTCAATTGACTGATAATTTCAACTATAATTCCAACTTCACAAAATTTGTTCATTTCTGGTGTTCTTTTCTATCTATTTTTCAGATTATATGTTCAATCATTGGAATATTTCAACAAATTATATTGAACAACAAATTTCGTTGTGATTTTATTCGCACAGGTCTTTTAACATATCTATTACCTTATTTTAACATTGAAAGTCAAGCTGACAATATTGAACATTTACATATTAGTCTATTAAGTTTATATGTTACAGTAACAAGTAAACTATCAATGGATGAAATAGAATGTTTTCTTTTATCAGAATCTAATACCTATTTCAATAATGAAGAAAGATTAGAAGAAGTTGACAAAGAAGAGAATTTTAAAGATACTTATAATGTCTTAAACGATTTATTTATACATACTATGAAAGCATTAATTCAATGTAATACTGAAGTTGGGAAAAAGTTGGCACTTATCTTACTGGCTCGTTTATTGAATTCTAAGAATCAACGAACTCGCCTCTATCATAATGACAATTTATTCAATCAATTAATTTCATGTCTTACACAAATGATTCAATATATAATACAAAAATTCACTAATGAAATACAACAACCACTGATATATAAAATTCAATTCTATAAAAAATATAAACGTTTATTACAATTTATAATGGAATGTTTTAATCAATTAATTATTGATTTAAGATTACGCAATCGATTACGTAATAGTTTACCAATTGAATTACGTTCTAATTTATTTTCTGTTATATTATTACATGATCAAGATGTTCAATTATGGCTTGAAAATATGTGGATTCAATTGGGATGGGATAAAGTGAATTAAGGATGTGATTTACAGATTTATAATATAGTATCTTAATTTCATCGTTTAATGTTGTTTTTTTAGTAAATATAAATATATTTTTTTCAATTGACTTATAATTTCAATTATGAAAATACTGAAATATCCACAAAAACCCCTTCTGATCTATAATCATATGCTCAGTATTGACTGACTGAAAGGAATGTTTCCTTGAGTTCTAGCGGGAAGCAGTGACCAGTGGACTTCGACCAAGTATGTTGTAGAGATATCAATTCACTGAAGACAATTGGTGAACGGTTGCTCAAACATAGTGGATTGGTTGCAGTTAAACATTAACACCGTTGGATGCCGGTCAGCTCAGTGGTCTAGGGGTTAAGTGCTCTGGCGCGAGACTGGTAGGTCCTGGGTTCGAATCTCGCGAGTGCAGGATCGTAGGTGCGCGCTGCTGAGGACGAAATGGCCGTCCAGTACTCCCAGGTTTTCGTTGGTGGTCTAGCTTCAATTGACTTATGATTTCAACTATGGAAATATTTTTTCAGTTGTATACTGGTCAAACTTTTATTTAAATGAGAAAAAAATATTACGATTGATAATTAAGTATTTTAAATAAAATAAGCCGACTTTTAATAAAGAAAAATATTTGACCGATATTGCTGTAAAATTAAGATGATGGTGTAATGTATGCTACTGATGCTGACGGATATAAGTAGTATGTATCATCAATCGGAAGTGGAATGCCTGGAAGTAGAAGGTTGAGAAGATTGAAGGGAACAGAAGGAGAACAAAAAGTGATTAATATGGAAATGTAGGAACAATCAAGTCTGAGATGATTGATGGATATTTTGCGAATGTATTTACTAAGAGATTCTGTAATTTTGTATTGAATTATATTTGGTTGTCCCCACTGGTGTTCTCGTTTACTACGTTGGTAGCATTTATAACTTTTGATTAATTGTTTCTGTGGCGTAGATAGTCTCTAATTGGCAATACGATTTTTCATACAATTTGTCCCAGGGGTAAAATCAACTTAAACGAGAACAACGAATATAGGAGAATAATTAGAAAAGATACATTTCGTAGTTAATTTTCATCTGCTTACATATAGTCTAGAATTAATGATATTAATTATGGTCAGAAGGGGTTTTTGTGGAGATTTAGTATTTGCATAGTTGAAAGCATGAGTCAATTGAAGCTAGACCAGCAAGGAAAACCTGGATGCACTGGACGGCCGTTTCGTTCTATTATGGGACTCCTCAGCAGTGCGCATCCATTACCTCGTCCCACAATAGGACGAAACGGCCGTCCAGTGCATCCAGGTTTTCCTTGGTGGTCTAGCTTCAATCGACTCACGCTTTCAACTATGCAGATGTTAATTATCCCAAAAAATAAACTATGTCCTTACTTTATATCATGATATGTTTTCATCAATGAAGATTAGTTAAACGGTAATAATAATATGAAAGAATTATGAAAGACATCCGAACGGCTGAATATTTGTGTCAAATAATTTAGAAATTCTAGAAAAGAATTTTAAAATAAGATAGAGACAGATTAATCCAAAAAAAATATCGAAAGTTATGTAATAACAGCAAAAAGGATTGATTACTAGATTAAAATGAGTGGAGCTCAAATAAAACCCAAGAAAAAAAAAGAGAAAAGTGAATTTATAATTGTAGATACGAACTGTTGAGCAACTACACATTGTAAATTGAAGTCATCAGGGGAATGCAAAAGTGATCACAACATCGTTATGAATGTATAAATTCGGTTTAAGCCTTTTAATTTATGCAAAACGTAGAGTTGGAGATCGTTTGTTTACTATTAGTTTTGAAATCTCAACTTTAGATACAGTATTAGGTAAATGATAGGCAATCACAATATCGAAGGGATGTTGACCTCTTTGTCTTAAATTCAAAGGAGTGTGCTTGGAGATGCGAATGTTAACTTTCCTCTTCTTCCACTAACTGCACTTCGTCATATACACGTTACTTGATGTACACCATCCAGGGTAACGTAAGAGGAGTGTCTGTCCACTTTTTCATGGAGGAATTCATGTGATACATCAAAATAACTTTTGGAGCTGGTTAAGTTCTTTTTAATGCAGTCCTTATCTCAGAATCGATCTTCTCAGATATTTCCTCACTTTTGAAATCAAGTTGTATTGACACAAGGTTTCTCTCAGCCAAAGCATACTCTATTACCTTCATTCTTGTAATCCAATTTTGTTAAGATCATCTTTAAATTTTTATCTGAAATTTAAATATTCTGTTACAGCATTTTATTTCACGAATAAATCATCTATTTACGAAATGTTATGAATCCTTTTCATTTGAAGCACAGCTCAAATGGTGTCGTTTAACATTAGAACTTCAGTAAGTTAATTATGGGGCGTTAAGTTTAGAGACATCAAGTGTTGAGTTATTCCCTGGTATATAACCGTTAGAGGGATGAAGAAATATAATTACATGTACTTCAGGAGTGCCACTTGTATCTGATGGAATCATCACATTGAAGTAGAGTAAATTTACATAATAATAAAAGATTTGTATTATTACTAAGTGATCAACAATTATCTGTTTGAATGAAAATCTCCATAGACACAAAGAGATGCACTAAATAAACACGGAGGCTGCCCATACCGATTCACTGTGAATATCTTTCATTCGACGTATTGAGATCATGAACCAACCACCTTCTATATTTTTCAGGAAATTTCAACAGCAATTGGTTACGGTAACTATTAAGATGAGGTGCATTAGTAGAGGGAAAGATAACAGTTTAGGTATGTTGTTAATCCTTACAAATCCATTAAATTATAGCTCAAAATCGGTGAGGGTTCTAAATTTGATGTAAATTAATGGTAAGAAGCATTAGATGACCGCTTAAAACCGATACTAACTAACAGCTCTGTCTATAAGTTATTTTCTCATGGATTTTTTCTGAATTGTTGACTTTAACCAACTTTTCGTTATATTACTTTACAAATGCAGAATTACTTTATTTAATCAGTCTAACGATAGACAAAGAGCTAAAATGTAATTCAGTCTCTCAAAAATAATCCATTTAAGACCTACTTACATCTATTAAGCATGTAACTAACTAACTTAACAACACTGTTCAACCTGAGATCGTATCATTTTTATTACTAGATATTAAATGAGACTAGGAGGTAACTTTGCATAGAGGCAAGCTGACAATGGCAATTACTTTATACACAACCATTTAATTAGTTCTGATGATAAATGAGAACATATTTGCAAGGGCACATTTTTATTGTATAAAAAGTAACGAAGCAAGTTATTCATATGATTACATTAAATGTTAATTCAATATTCCATGTTATTGGGCAAATGGTATTACCTCATTTCATATATACTATTGTACCAAAATTTCGCAGTGGCTGATAAATTTTGTAATCGTAGATTAACCTTTAACGGGACAAATATGTAACTACATTAAAAAAATACACATTCAAAATGCAGTAAAAATGTTCGCTAATACCTTTCTTAGAATAAATGATTGTAAGTAAGGGACTGAAATAAAAGTCTTTCTGTTGAAGATCAAATGGTAGATGAATCGTTGTTGTATAACTTCATTTTAATATGTTTGCGAAGCATCTGTCTAAATTTTATGCATATATTTTTGCTGGGAATCTTAGATTTTGACTAAACATGTATTGGATAAATGGGGTGTTATTACCACTGAAGTGTAACGGATTCAAAAATCTTCTTACTCCACCGAATTCTGGTTAAATGATCAGATTGGCTTAGTTTCACGTTTGTATTATTGCCAATTGTTGTTGACTGCTTTTGTTACTAAGTGTAAGTGGATTTTGTGCTTTTTCTAGGTTGTAGACTCACCTTTTCTCTTTTCCTCTTCTTTTTCAGCTTTCCTCATGCACCCTCCCTTAGTATCCAAAGTATCTCTAGGCTAGACGTGAACTACTAAAGAAGATATACTTCTGATGTTGACGATTGATTGATTTATATTATAATGGTAATAACCATGTTTATATTTATGATAAGTTGATTTTCTTTTCAATATTTCTTATTGTAATTACTCACCTTAAGGGTAACTAAAACATACACAAAAAATTACTGAGCACTGAAAGATAAAAAAAACTAATGTAGGTAGGTTGTTACATTGTAAAAAAACAAATGAAAAAATATTTTGCAAATGACAAATGCTTTTCTCTATTATACATGAAAATTTCTTTTCACTTACGCATATGTACATATGTTACTGCGTTCTTATTCATCTATCTGAGTTTATACAAGTAACCATGTTCATACATGTTATTATTATTGTTAGTTTAATATGAATAAAAACTATAATGTGTACTGATAGAGAAACTGAACTGCATATGACCTCATAGTGTATATCTAAATGAATATACTTGGTATACAATGTGTCTTTCACAAATTCTTATTATTTAGCTTTGCTTTTAGTCATTTTTGTTTTTTTCTGCTACCTTTTTTATAATGGTTATTATTACTACAAAACTCATTTTATCATTTAAATTTACTTGTTACCACCTAACTAAATTATAAATTATTGTTAATGTTAAGAAAGAATAGTAATTCTAATGTCTATATCTATCTGTCTTGACAACGGGCTTCCATTTAAAAAGAAAGCAATCTTTCACTAGATGACTTTGATGAATAGAGATTCATAAAATTATTCAATTGTGAATGATGAGAAGAATGTTTCACGTTTAAACAAATAGTTTCTATTTATTTATTAACACTTGAAATGATAATAAACATGATTGAATATAGAATGTTTTTTAACAATATTTAATCAATAGTTGATAGATGGTTGTTGAAATTAAAGTTTTGTTTTTAATATAAATGAAATCTAAATTTACTTAGTATTGTTTATTTGTAACTTCCCATTGATGTTTAGGACGGAAACTGGTCAGTCTCCAATTGACATATGTGTATACTGTGCGTATTGCCTCGATATGATCTTAATTCGATCTTCGCTTATAAATGAAATCTGTTTCAAGAAAATAAGATGTGCATACTTTCTAGAATTAAACATTTACTTACCTGTTTGTGTAATTCAAAGAAACAACACTGTAAAATGTAATGCTATCTGATGAAATATAA